AAAATAGACTCTTTAAGGAACAAGGATTGAGCACTGCTACTTCCTCTTGCAAGTAAATTTTGATCTGTGGCATAGAATAACATTGGGAGATCTCTGCTCTGTACAGTCATTCAGGGACTGAAGCTCCTTCTAACCCTAGCAGTGCTAGTAAAAATATAATAATGAGCTGTAAGTGTGAGTCACATATGTGATTTTAAATTTTCTATAAGCCACAATTAAAAGTAAAAATGAAAAGGTAAAATTAATTTTAATAATATATTTTATTTAACACATTTGTCCAAAATATTGTCATTCAATGTGCAATGAATATTAAATTATGAATTATTTTTATACAATGTCTTTGAAATTCAGTGTATAATTTATGCCTTACAGTATATCTTAATTTAGACTAGACACATTTCAAGTGCTACCATGTTGCCCGGAGTAAATCTACAGGCCCACTGTTTTAGGTTCTTAGAATTCTCTGGCTTTCTAAATCTAGCCAATAGACAAGGATGGTAGGGTACATAGAGAACCCCAAAGAGGCTTTAGGGGTTAGGTCTGGCACCAAAGTATTTCATTTCCATCTGCATTGGCCAGTTCTCAGTCATATGACCCAGCTACCTAGAGTACCAGACAAATGTAGATTGACTGCATTCCCAGGAGGAAATAGGTTTGGTGAGTATCGTCTCTATCACAGCACATAAAGAATTATTATTACTGAATTTTACAATTCAACAAATTATGCTTAAGCAAATTAAATGATAGGTTAGTTAGTGGGAGAATGTACATGGAATTCAGATCTTCATTCCCTAGAGTGATGTTTCTTTCGTCAGACTTCCTTATTTCTTCTCCTCACCTTAGTTTGTCCATTGGCCTACCTTTCAATTCTGTCCATATAGATAAAGTTCTTGGAGTAAACCTGATATCTTCAATATTGTATCACATCAGCTCTCATTATTCTATTGCTGCTGTTTTATAAAATGACAGGCAGCCCAGTATAACGAATCAAATATACTTTATTAATAGATGGTTCAACTAATTGTACTGTTCTAAGCACTACATTATCATTTTGAGTGGGCCCTTTGCTTCTGAGTACAGAAATGCCTCATTCAAAGCAAAGTATTATTAAGGTCCTCATCAAGCCATTCAATCAATGGATAAATTGCATTTTATAGTATAATGAACAGTCTATTCAATGGAAGTTTTTAGCTTTTTTACAGTGCTTAGAAAAATAGTAACAAGTGCTATTAATGGTAGAAGTATTAAATTAAAGTGTATGGATAAGCTGCTTTATTTTATAGATGCAAAGGATTATTTATATTTAGATGGAAAGGGCTATTTTATAGATGGAAAGGGCTATTTTAGTTGGAGAAATGAGATATTTCCCAAGCAGACTAGTGGCAGAGTGATGGCTTTCCTTTGCCTACTGATTGTAACACAACTGACTCCCAAGGACAGGTTTTACTGAAGATGGTGTAATTAGATTACTTGCCCTTTAGTTTTAAATTACCCCTGCAAAACTGGTTTTAAATTTTTGTTGTTGTTTAATAGTTTTGATATGAAATATATTCACAAGAGTCAAACATTTTAAAATATGAAAATATTTTAGAATTAAAAAATTTTTAAATATGAAAATATGAAGTGGAAATTCCCCCCATCTTTTCTTAGGCAGTTTCTCCTTCTACCTCTTTCTCCTTTCTGTACCCTAAACCAATAGGAATTCATTCTTATTTCTTGCATATATTTCTAGAGTTTGTATTTGCATTTATGAGCACATAGTAATATACATTCTATTTTTTATTTTATTCTATATATACTGTTTTACATATACTGTTTTGCTTTTTTACTTAATAATATTGTGAAACATTGTATATGTCAGAATATGGAGTTCATTTTTATCATCATTTTTATAGTTGTATATTGATTTGCTAAATACATGTACCACATTAATAGACAGTCTATTTAAAAATCTTTAGATATTACAAATTATATTGCCATGAATAGGCTTGTACATAAGTAATTTCACAAAAAGTGTAACTATATTGGAGACATGAATTGTCAAATAGGATTGCTATTCAATGTGTGTATACATTTGGAATTTGATAGAGATGGCCAAATTACTGTCTATAGCTGTTGCACTAATTTACTTTCCAATCAGGGATGCTTAAAAGTACAAGGATCTGATATAAATATTGTATAAGATAATTAAGGCACAATCTTTGCCCTGAAAGACTTTACTATCTGGTCTCTCAAAGTGAAAAAAAAAAAAAAAATCTTGCTCTTCAGGTAGAAGGCTATATAATTAGCACACTAAAATACTGGCTTTGAATTGAGTTCCATGTTTTAAATAAAAGGTGATAGGAAACATCAAGATGCATGTCCTGGGTGGCTGTGCTTAATAAGTGGTGTATTCCAGCATCAGAATGTATTTGGCTGGCTCAGCACATTGTTGTGTTTTTCCATTTCTATCCTCCTTCTCCTTCCTATAAACACAGCCAGCTATTTCACTCAGCTGTGAAATATACACTATTGTAAAACAATGTGTAATTAAGTGGTGGAATGACTGGGGTAGGCAAGTGCTGTAGGGGAGCAGATGTCAAAGAATTCAGTGTGCCTTGGGCCAGGCATTGAGACAGAGCTTGAGCAGGGCCTTGAAAAAACATGTGATCAGTCACAGATGCTGGATAAAAGGGCAGTTCAGGCAACATCAATGTGATGAGCAAAAGGCAAGAGACAGAATGAGCCAGGCTCATTTCAGGGATGGTTTAAAAGCTGTCTTCTCAGAAATAAGGATTTGGATAGGAGTTGAAGCTAGCAAGGTAGATTGGGAAACAGCTAGTGCAATCTAAAAAAACATGCCATGGCCTGTAGACCCAGAGTCTATAACCTTACATTAGACAACCTTACATCCTTAGAAAATCGTTGAACATTTTGAGCTTCAGTTATCTGAGATGCAAAATGATAATTTTAGATTGAAAAAAATCTCTAAGGTAGCTTCCTGTTTTAAAGTATTCTGTGTTGGGCCGGGGAATTAGCTCAGCAGTTTGGTGGCCTGCCTTGCAAGCGCAAGCACCCAAGTTCTATCACCGGTACCAAAAAAATAATAATAATAAAATAAAGTATTCTGTGATTCTTTTACAGTGGTCCTTGATAAAGTAGAATGAGGACTTTGGCATCCATCCTAACGCTGTGAAAACTTTTGCGTGCATTCTGAACATGAAACTCACACAATAAGAGAGGCAATTATTGTTATTAAATTCAGTAAAGGATAATTGCCTTGGAAAGGAAGATTAGATCTACTGGAGAAAGAAAAACAGCTTGTAAATTGTACTAGTCATTCAAATGGGATAAGACAATTGAAATTAAAAGAAGGGGACACACACTAGAATCATTGTATTCAACTCAGGGCCTTCTGCTTGTGAGGCAGGCATGGTGCTGCTGAGCTACATCTCCAGCCCCTACTCATTCTTTATTGATAGTCAAAAACTATATAAGGCTAGGTGTGGTGGCGCTCACCTGTAATCCCAGCACTCAGGAGGCTGAGGCAGGAGGATCTCTGTGAGTTTGAGACCAGCCTGGGCTGCATAGTGAGTTCCAGGTCAGTCTCAACTACATAGTGAAACCCTGTCTCAAAGAAAACAACAACAACAACAACAAAAACTATATGAGGTTCTGGGGTAAAAAAATCAGCAAAGACCCCTATTTTGGAGAACTTACATTGTAACAAGAGGAAAAACCAGAATTTGGTGACTGACCAATAGGGTATTTGTGCCTTTAAGAGAATATCGAGGTCAAACAGCTGGCTACATAGAATTGACTGCATAAATATTCTATAAATGTTAATAAAATGGAATAATAGGCAGTCACAAAGAATTATGATGCATATTATTTGACATAATAATATAGTAGGCCATCAAGTAAAAAAAACAATGCAGTCTAGAAAATTAAGTACCATTTTGTATGAATAATGCAATTTTTGAAGATTTAGCTAATTACTTTTCATTCAGTGATTCTTTACTGAGTTCTAGCCAGCCATTGTTTGGGGCCCTAGAGATAAAGGGTAAAAAAATAGTCATGATCTATTATTAATTTTTGCCTTATATTTTCTGTTTTGCAGTGAATTCATGTTATTTCTTTTGCAAAACATGTTTCTAGAAAAGCTTTTTTAAAATCACCCCATTGATCATTTGTGTGGTATGTAAGTATGCTGTGTGAATCACCCTTGCCTTCACAAGTGGAGTGGATAATACACAGTTAAAAATGACACTCTTCTGTCCTATGTCTCATCGAGTTCTTATACAAGAGATAAAGTACCTCCAGGACACCTTCCTTCTTCTTGGGGTAGGTTAGGGTACTTCCTGTCCTTTGGTGACCATAGCAACCAAAACTTCTAGACTTGGTCTGGCTTTAAAGGAAATAGAGTTCTGCTGATGAGACTGTGACTCTGTTAGCTGTTTATAATCCTTCTAGGGGGCTGGTCATTCCAGCCTTGGTGTCTATTTACATGGGCTGTATGTTACATGACACTTTTTTATTCCTATTGAAGTTGCCTCTCCCGGAAATCTCTGTCATTCCACAAACCTTGGCTGTTACCCTTCCATGCAGCTGACCTCCCACAGTTTGAAAGACAAACTGTATTCTGGCTACATTTAAAGGCAGTTTTTGGGTTGGTTTCATGAGCAAGGAATTGGGTATAATATCTTTGTGGGAAGATTAAAGGAGGATCTGTGACTAGCTGTTACTGGATTCCAGGGCCCTTACCCAAAAGCCTTTGTGTTATTTTCCTCTCCTTCTGCCCCAGCTCAATGCATGGTATCTCTCTGCTATGGTGCATTTCTCATCAACTTATATTTTTACTATGCCATATCTTTGTGTATGTGCTGGAGAACAAACAAGCAAGTACAATCTACTAGATTATTATTGATGAAGATTGCTCCATGCTCTTTTTTTTAAGGTTGCTCCATGTCCTTTATAGTAAACATACATATACTTACCAACATTTATAAACATATATATGAATCGCTTCTCGGCCTTTTGGCTAAGATCAAGTGTAGCATATATATGAAAACATTTGCTTACAATCCTATTCCCTAGAAATATATTGGTATACATACTATAGAGTCCACTTTTTGCTAGCTTCAGAGATAAATTTTCCTTAAGAATTTCCTCTGTATTCTGTGCTTTCTCTCTGATTATTGGGTTTAGCCGTAGGCTGACTAGACTTCTCTACATCTGCCTTTCTTTGTCAAACCTTGCTGCTGCTTTCCATTCAAAGTCTAAATTGCTGTAAGATCCTAATGATTATATAATAGACAATGTGAAATAGCAAGAAAGGGGCTAAAGGTATAGGGAAAGTGGGAAGGGTAGGGGAAAGCTAATAAGGGAAAAGAAAAAAATATGAGAAAATGAAAAAGTGGAAATGAAGTGTTTGTAAAGGTGGAGGGGAGTAGGGGTGAAGGGAGGGCAGGGACAAGGGGGAAAAATGAGAACCAAGACCTATCATGTAAAGGTACAAGATCCCAATGATGAATGAAAATGTACTGTATACCTAAAATGTACCAATAAACTCAATGAGGGAAAAAAATTGTTGTCGCAAAAGTACCATGTAATTCTAAAGACGCAAGATCTTCTTTGTTTAGGTGTTCCTTTATTTCACTCGGCTTCCAGAGATGATCTCCTGTAGCATCTGTATTAACTATTGATAATCCCTTTGTGTCTCTCTCCTACCAGCACATTTTCTTCAGCCACCCACTTCTGGTCACACATATTTCCCAGAGTTAAACTCAGTGCTCACTTGCAGTAACTATTTCACTTGTGTCTCTTTTATCTTTTTCCGTTCTGCTTTTTAAAATTATTATTATTATTATTTTTTTTTTTTGCGGTACTGGAGATCGAACTCAGGACCTTGTACTTGCAAGGCAGGCAGCAGTGTCACTGAGCTAATCTCTGGCCCTTAAAATTAATTTTAATAGTACACTCTACTACTTGTAAGCGACTTGCAATCCCCTCCATCACCAGCCTCTTTTGGAGTTATTAGAGAAATAATTAAAATTATTTATCCTTGTAAATTTCTCATGTAGTCTTTTCTTACTCATATTTTCTCTACTTCTGGCTGAATTGTCCCTTTTTTATTTCTTCACTATTTACCTTGCTATTAATATACTTTGGACTTTTACTAGACAGTCATAAGATGTTTCTGTCTGCCATTAGGAAGGAGTGGTAGAATAGTCATTAGGATTTAGGGTGCTATGGTGAGGAGTTTATCAATCATGCATTAAATATTGCAAGGAATAACCTGAGCTTCACTTGATGTTTGTGCTTGCTTAGGGCTCATTTATTGGTCCTGCTTTTCCTTTTGTGTACTTCTTTCTCTTGGAAGCCCAACAGAGTTCTCTGTGAGTCAGAGAAGAGAAAGTTATTCCTCACTAAGTTTATAGTCAATCTAAATAAACAATGAGTTTAAAAATGACTTATAGGTAAAATTAATCTGGGGATTTGAAAATTGCATTGAAACAGAATTTGTTTCTTAACTGGTAATTGATTTCAGAAATAAAGTATAATGTCCTTTGAGGAGGCTGCATTAGTGTTATAGGATTATTTTAATGGACTCTTCATTCTCCATTTTGGTGTGTCATTGGGGTATTAATAATGGATTGTTGCTTCACTTGGTGGTCAGATATGTTATTCTGATGCATCTTTATTTCCCAGAGGAGCCTCTGGAAAAGGGCAATGAGGGTAGATTTTAGACCGCATTATTGGAATTCAATAACTTTCATCTTGTTTGTATGTCTAGGGCTTGCTGAAGAGTGGTTCTAATATAGAGAGTCAGTCAAGCATAGGGCAGGAAAAATACCAAAATGGATTTTCTTAACTAAGCTATAAGCTAGATTTTGTGTTTTAATTTAGACTTTGATGCTCAGCATTAAATTTTCCAGAAAATGTTCTAGGTATATACATTTTCTTCTTTTTTACTATCATAGATGAAGGGATGAGCATAAGAATAAGCATTCACTAGTACAGATTTTTGGCTTAATGAAAATAAGCATAAATTTATATGTCAGTAAGAAAAAATATATACATTGCAATAATTCCTAAGAAATTGTGATGGACTAGTTCAGTTATGTCAAGTATACCTCCAAAGCAACAGTTAGGTCTCACTCCCAGGTGAAACATTTAGGTTTTCCTCTCCCAGTCACTACTCAAAGGCTTGACAGTGGAAGGTTCTGAATCCTAGGGTGAGAGAGTCACTCCTGGAGTGATAGATTCTTGTTTCATCGAATAATGAATATTTCTTCAGTAAAATCTTTTCTGTTGTGGGTTTATATGAAAATGTAGAAGAGAGTCGGTGATATTTTCACCCATACTCTAGGACAAACCAGTCACATTAAAAGAGAGGAAGGGATAAGTGAAGTTTACATTCTCACTCTCATTTCAGAGGAATATTTGTCTTTCTTGTATTTTTTTATTTATTTCAAGCCTACTAAACTTAAAAAAGTAATCAAAGAAAACTGGTTAATAACCATTATTAGTGATCCATTATTCATTTTTTGCTATCTGGCTAATAGCACATAATCACCTGACACAGAATCTTAAAAGAATGAGAACAGAGTAACTATGTATGAAGTGACAGGTCTCTTCTTACACAAAGAGTATGTGAGAATCTGAGAATCCTATTGTTTTGACACTGGTATTCTTCAGTCACTTTGATATTATACTTTATGTTATTATTATGCATAGTTTGATCTGTATTCCTTGACTATTGTTTTGCCAAGGAACTGTCTTCATTTCTTAGTTATTTAACTTTTTACTTTTTTTTCTTTCTCACAAAACAAATTCAACTCTAGTGGTCTAGTGGGGAAAATTTAAGACATAGGAAATAGTAAAGCAGTATAATAGAAATTATGAGTGGGAGGGATGTACATTAGGGTGAAGGATCTGGATTCCATTCCCAGTAATAGGATAAAAAAAAAATGTCACCTAAGAAAATACAATGAACAACTTTGACATCTTTTTTAGTTCTTTCTCTGAGTGTACACAGCTATAATTTTTATAGAACTCTTATAAACTTAATTTTTTTCAGTTAAAATCTGTCTGAAACATCCTATGTCATTAAATGTATTTTGCCACATCATTTTTAGCATCTTTATACTTTTTTCAATATATCGTGCTAAACCCATCTCATTTGATCTTTTGGTTTTTATATTTTTTTCATTATTATAAACAAGTCTGTGATAGTACTGCAGATGAAGAATCCATTATTATTTAAGGAGAGGTTCCTAGGATTTAAATTATTCGGTTAATAGGAGGCAATGGGAAATTTCCAAAGGTTGAGACTTCAATTTTTGTAGTCATTACAGTAAAGGGTGACACAGCTTGAGATTATGGATTGGGTTTACCTCACTTTCAGAGTCCTAAGTAGGGCATCTATAATTCACTCCTCATAGAACTTTGATTCTATTAACTTTCATTTCCTGTTCTAGACTCTGAGATGTCAGACTTAAAATCTCATGTCTATAATGTTAGCTCTCAAAAGGCATGTTGTAGGTGTTTAAATGAAAATCAACAGCCTAGCTAGTTGCTGTGGATGTTTATGCGGGGGAGGAAAACATAGAAACACATCCTTAGTAGCTGTGCCATGGTCTTAGAGATCTAAATATATAGAGTACATCTAAGAAAGAGGCTGACCTTCCCAAGGTCACACCATGAGTCAGCGGTAAAATCCCAAACAGAACTTTCATCTCTTTTAACTTCTTTTTCCCAGTAAAAATAGTATTTATTAATAAGTCAAAAGAGAGTATTCATAAGTGAACCAATAGGGCCCTTTATACTTAGAAATTATCCTGAAAGCCTTTCAAGAGAATTAATAGAAAATTATCATCTCAGAGGAAGCAAATCTAAATTGTAAATAAGTATTGATAGGTTTTAGGAGAGAAACTCTTAAATGACTCCAATGGGGAAAGGGAAATACACAGTATAGGCAGATGGAAATGAGCCTCAAGGGAATATGTATGTTTGTGTTGCCTACTGATGAGGGAGAGTTGGAGGAGGGAGGAAGATGATCTGAACCCACTGTGGTAACTAAGGACAAGGAACAAAAAAGGCTCTTCAGGAATTAACCCTATGATTGTACATGGTAGTTTTGGCCCCCATTCTTAATGAATCCTAGATCTTTTTATCTCAGAAGGGTGGTATGGATCTGAATGGTTATTTCAGATCCTGTAACAAGGTCACCTGCAGGCGCCTGAAACTTGGCCCAGAGCCTGAAACTTAGGACTCCTGGTTTATAGGCTCGTGCTAAACTTACTGTCAGGAAAGAGCAGTCATTTTCCAAGAATTTTCAGAGATACACAAAAATTTATAAGTAACTAAAGGTCAGGCTAATGTATGGGTGGGATACCCAAAATAAAAGAGAAAAGAAAAAAAGAAAAGAAAATATTAGGTCTCCAGAATAGAGATCACCCATCCAATACCACTGTCTTTATCGATGAGTAAACTGAGGCTGAACAATCTATGAGAACGTAAATAATCAATATACATCAAGACCAGGAATTCAGGCTTTCTGAAGCCCATCCTGGTGCAAAGTGATCTAGATACATCTTGTGATTCATTTATTCTTTTTAATAATCATTTTCCTGCTTTTATTTCATGGTTCATGAGCTCAATATCAGAAACATCAATATATATTATGAATCTATTTGCATGTGGTACTACATTCTAAAAAGCAAATTAGACAAAGGCCGTGCTTGTCCTGTAGGAATTTCCTAAGGCAAATAGACCTCATGGAAATACCATATATATTACTGAACCAATAGAGCAAATATGTAAATTGCATAACTTTTATCATGTCAGATGTGGGAGTAAGAGATTCTCGCAATTGACTGGTAGAAGAAAAGACCTCATTTTCATCATTGTATGGAAGGGGAATAAAATGCTTTACCTGATGTATTCGACAGTAGAGTATAATTTCTTTGGTATTTATTAATTTTTTTCCATGTATTGGTCAGGATTTTTTCCACCTCAAATAAATTAGATTGTGAGAGTCTATATTGAAAGTAATAGTTCAATCAACAAATCCCCTGAAGCTTTTTATATGTAACAATTTTAAGCAAAAAGTTTTCAAATCATGGAAAGCAGTACTGTTCACTATTATTTATGGTCAGGTATGGCCTGTCATTACTTCCATTTGGTTCCTCCTCAGTTTCAGGCAAATAGACTTTC